GGGAGGAGAAGGGGGAGGAGCGAGGAGGAGGAGGAGCGAGAGGAGCGGAAGGAGTAGCAGGAGAAGGAGCGGTGGGAAACGGGGAGAGGGAATTAACGAGCACACAGGATGCGGGTTGGAAAAGCGGAAGGAGGGAAGGGAGGACGGGTGGGGCAGAGGAGGGGTGGAAGGGGACACTCTCTCTCTCTCTCTCTCACACACACACACACACACACACACACCTGTCGTCGGGTGGCGAGTTGGGGCAATGCGGGCGGGAGGAAGCAGAGGGGGAAGAGGGGTGGGGAGGGCTGAGAGGGCGGAAGGCCGGCCAGTCACGTTCACACTCTTTCGCCCGCCTCCCGCTTCTGGCTGCCTTGGCCTGGCGTGCGTGTGCCCAGTAGCTTCACGTTGGGCCAAAGTGTCTGCTGCGCCCAGGCCCGCAGCAGTTAAGCTGCCCAACTGTGTGATGTGGCTGCTGTCACTCGCTGCTCTCCCATCAGCCTATGGGCCTCTCCAACCGCGTCACTGCCTGCTTTCTCATTGGCTGAGAGCGGCTGCCCACTTCGCATGTTGCATGAGCCCAGAGGTTCACCATGTTGTGCTCACACTGGCGGGGGCATGTAACCGACTGGCACCCCATACTGCAGAAATGACAAAAATAAGGCCTCAAGGGACAAAGCAGGCCCACCTTCACTTAGCGCGCACACAAGGCTTGCCGGGGCCTAAATGGGCGGTCTGGTGACCAGGCCGAAAGGCCTTTACGAGCGCTCAATCCTCGCACTCTGTAATGAAGAGAGAAATATACACTGAACAACTTTTACCTCAGAGTCAAATCAAAATTCGTTACCAAATAAAAAATGATTTGAAAATCAGAATAAAAGTAAAAAAAATTAAAAAATGTCTTTATTATTTTTTTATTTTTTTGGCGCGGGTGGGCAAGAGGGCCTGGGCCACTCTGGTAGCCTAGCTTCCAGGGGAATTATATTTGAGTTTTTATGAGGGTTCTAGGGGCCCTTAGCGTCTGAGACCTATAGCCGACCTTGAGCGAATGGGAGTTGTACTTGGGCTCGGTGGGGGAAATAAAGAAGCAGTTTGCCGCCAGCAACTTTATCCGAGTCATCCAGGGCCCCGGGTCGGCAAGTGGGCCTGGCCCACTCTGGTAGCCTAGCTGCCAGGGAGATTATATTTGAGTTTTTACAAGGGGCCCTTAGCGTCTGAACGCTTATAGTCGGCATCGAGAGAATGGGAGTTCTATTTGGGCTCGATGGGGGAAATAAAGCAGTCTGCCGCAGCGGGGCTTTATCCGAGTCATTCAGGGCAGACTCACACTACTGTAGCGCTTTCCTAAATTTATCTGCCTCCAAATACATCCATACCTCGATGAATCTGATCGTTATCACGTCCCAGTGTGAGTACGCCCTTATTCTCAAGCCCCCCGGGTTGGTTGCCCCCACCAGTTGCCTCCCGAGTTGAACGCCAGTGAAGCCGCTAGTCTTCTGCATCCAAAATGCTACCATCACAACCCGGATGAAATGCCTGGTCATCAGCGCTGTATCTACAGTGAAAGTTGTCCGAAATATAGAAATAATCACCGGGTGTTGTATTCCGCTGAAGAAGGTAGTCTCATGCAGTGCAGAGGAGGAAGGCAAACAGCAAAACAAAGAAAAGAAAACTTGACCATGTGCTATCCGTCAGGACATCCTCTGTTAAAATGGCGAGAGAGAGAGAGAGAGAGAGAGAGAGAGAGAGAGAGAGAGAGAGAGAGAGAGAGAGAGAGAGAGAGGACATCCTCTGTTAAAATGTGTGTGTGTGAGAGAGAGA